GTTCTACCACTTGAGCCACAGCGCCACTTCCGGCTTTTTTCTTTTTGCTTATGTGGTGCTGAGGAATCGAACCCAGGGCCTCAGGCATGCAAGGGACGCGCTCTACCACTGAGCCATCTTCCCAGCCCCTCCTTTTTTTTTTAAAAAAAAAAAAGGCCACTAAATATTTTGTGTGGTATTTTTAATTTCTCTACATTCAGAAAAATAAATGACACATATAACAATTTAACTAATGCCCATGTTAAAAGTGCAAGAATCAAATCTGGAAAAAAAAATAAATGGAAAGGCAAAAGGGCTGGAATAGTAGCTCAAGAGGTATAGAGAGTACCTGCCTAGCAGGCCCAAAGCCTGTCATGGAGAAATCAGCCATCAGTTGCTAAGACTCAGGCTCTACATGGAGGGAAGCAGGATTTTGTAGCAGCAAGAGCCTGGATGCTGACTTGAACTAAGGGCAGCAGAGCAGTGTATGAGGGTGTAGCGCTCTGGCATGAGGTCTCTCGTGACTGGTTACCCAGAGCCACTTGGACAAATTTCACAACTGGTCATCCTACCCATCTCTAAAGTGGAAATAACTATAGTTCCTGCCTCATAAAATTGTTTTTAGCTTAAACAATGCTATGCATGCACTTAGAACAGAGCTGGCCATATTAGAAGAACTCAGTAAATGTCAGCCAGTACACCACTATCACTGTCATCACCCTCCTCCATGTCCCAAACTAGACGTTTCTGGACTTGGATTTAATTTCATGCTCTATCAATTATTTGTTATGTGAATGTAACCATATTGCTCACTTGCTCTCTCTCTCTCTCTCTCTCTCTCTCTCTCTCTCTCCTTTCTCCCTCTCCCTCCCTCCCCTTTCTCTTTTTCTCTCCCTCTCTGCTGGGCATCTTTAAAAATCTGTTAAATAAAAATAATAGCATACTCTGATTCACAAGGTTGTTTTGAAAGTTGAATGATAGAATGAATGTTTAAAACCTAGCCAGGCACTACTGGCTCACACCTGCCATCCTAGCTACTTGGGAGGCTGGGATAGGGAAGATTGAACTTCAACGCCAACCAAGGCACATGTGTAAGACTCCAAATCAGGAGGTACGTACATGTCATCCCAGTTACATAAGAGGCTGAGGTTGGAAGGCTTGGGATTTCAGGCAAACCTGAGAAAAATGTTCCTTGAGACTCCAACTCAAAGGAAAAAGTTGTGCACAGTGGTGTATGTCTGCTATCCTAGCTACCTAAGAAGCATAAAAGAGGAAGACTGTAATCCAGGTATAAGTCTAGGCAAAAATAAGACCCTATCTCATAATAACCAGTGCAAAAAAAGGGGATGTAGGGTGCAGCTGAATCTGGATGTATTGTTAGAGCACTTGCCTAGCAAGTGTGAGCCTTTGAGTTCAAATACCATTAAATAAATAAACCTTAGCCAAGTGTCTTGGACACCATAAACATGAATTACTACATTATATAGGGAAAATTTTATGCTAAGGAAAGAGAGATGACCTAATTATTTTCTAAAAACTGTGCATGTGCATGTGCCCATGTGTGCACAGAAAAAAATCTGGAAGAAACCCATACACGTGTATTGAAGGAGGATTTACTTTCCCTTTTGCTTCTCACCTTTTTCTACTTTTCCTATAGTGAAGTTTGCATACACACAGATACATAATTCTCCTCTGTAGAAGGAAGAATATTTAATAAGCGAATCTATGCACACAGGCCTCGCAGTAGGGAGAAGGAGAACTAGAGTGGTCAGGAGGAGCATGTATGTGCAGAAGCAAAGCTGACTTGCTCTGTGGAAGGTAGTAAGGCCCAGGAGACGGGTCATCTGCTCACTTCCAGTCAGGCACCAGCTTCATTACCTGCTCAGCACATCAGTTGATATACTCTCCTCTAATGCATACTCCGTTTCTAACCTACTTTCTCTTCTTCCTCTTGGATCTTTGTCTTACTGGTTAATTGCTAATTAGTGTCCTGCAGAAGCAAGGTAACATGAGTGCTTGTCAAATAGATTTTACCAAATTACTGGGCTCATCTAAGTTTCTTAAAAAGGAAGCAGGCTTCTACCACAATTTCTCTAGGAAAGACTTCTATTCAGAAATTGAAGTTGAAGGCAGTTCTGGATAAAGAGATTGTCTATAATGTTCAGCATTTATTTTGGAATAAAATAGGCCCTAAATAAATTGGTTTAGAACCCTATAAGACCCAGAAAAAATGTCTGTCTGTCTGCCTGTCTGTCTATCTATCTGTATTTTTTGTCAGTTGTGGCGCTTGAACTCTGGGCCTGGGTGCTGTCCTTCAGCTCTTCAGCTCATGGCTAGCATTCTACCACTTGAGCCACAGTGACACTTCTGGCTTTTACTCTTTATGTGGTGCTGAGGAATCGAACTCAGGGCCTCATGCATGCTAGGCAAGCATTCTACAACTGAGCCACCTTCGCAACCCTCAATCTATACTTTTTAGTCTTCCCTTTATACCTCTTTCAAGGAAGAGGCAAACAGAGTTTGGTTCACATCTCAGCTTTCATGTGCTTTAATATTAATTACTAGCCTCATGATCTTCAATAAGTTAAGTTTCAGATTATCTTCATTCAAAAATGAGCATCAGTATAATCTGCCTAATAAGGTTGTTGAGAAAAATAAATGAGCAAATGAATGTAAGACACTTAATGCATTGTCTGTAACCTAGAAAGATCTTGGTAGATATTACTGATCATTAGTTATGAGACTGGAAGTCGGTTCATACATGGACTCTTGTCTATATTGTAGTTTTCTTGTCCAATCTTTTGAAAAAAGACTACAAATGCCAATTCTGAAAAAAAAATTAAATTGCACAGATCTGGGGAGAGGAAAAAAGGTGGCCTCCTTTACTTCCCTCACCATGGAAACCAGCCCTAGAAGCTGCAGATGTACATTTTCTGATTTGGCTCCAAGAAAATAGCCCTTAATATGGAAACCCAGGAAACCTGCAGAATAAGCTCATCAAACCAGCAGGCTTGGATATTCCTTTTATCATTTGAGTACCATGGGTTTTAGGTAGAAAAAATAGGCTGAGCCCTTTAGTTTGGAAGGCACAAAAGAGATTTTCTACCCCCACCGGTAATGGAAAGCAATGAAATTTGTAATTGTTCAAATATTACATAAAATAAGGCCCATGGTTTTCCCATAGCAAGTCTCTTTCTGTGGAGAAAATAAGGAGGTCTTCCATGTAATAGGGCCCTCTATTTCTCCACTCTCTGTCTCTGTCTCTCTCTGTCTCTGTCTCTCTTGCTTTTTTCCTCCTTTCTTTTCCCTTCCCCTTTCCTTCCCTTTGCTTCCCTCCCTCCCTTTCCTTCTCCCTCCCTCCCTCCCTTCCTTCCTTCCTTCCTTATCTTTTTCTTTCTTTCTCTCTTATTACATAGAGGAAAAAAATAAAATGTTGAAGATACAATGCTTGTTATTCTGGTCATATCTAACTATCATAATCTATTCTATTCCTGAATCCTACCAGTTAAAACAGCAATATTTGCTGCTGTAACATTCTAGCAATTTGAATAGAATCACAAGCACCTTTGATTTTTTTATCATCTGACAACAACTGTGTGGTATCTGACCTCCTGTTCCTACTGGGTAAAGTCTCTCGTAATGGTATCTCTGTCTAGGAGTAATAAGTCTTCATCCTTTGCTTATTACAACATGGATTTTAGGTACTTTGCAACTGATGCCTGTGAATTTTGAAACTAATCTCCTGAGTTAAAGCTCCTCTACCCACCACCAGGCTGAAGGCAGCCATCTTGAGGTGGGGACAGAAGATGTGATCTGCCGCGCACACACAACTTCCTAGCCTCCATTTTGTATCAGTCCTTGTTCTAAGTCACTTGCAGTCACTTCAGAATATCAGGAAAGGCAGGCTAATCAATATGATCTTTATGTCAGGGGACCAAAACTACCCCTATACGAGACAGCAAAATCCTGCAGGATAGACCATACACCTGCCCTTACTTAGTACAATTACCTTTAATGATGAGGGTGAGCCCTAGAACATGAGTAATAGTTTCAGAGGGGCCAAATTTGCTCCCCTCTAGTGATGACAGTGATAATGTCTCTGGAACCCATAGGAAGCAGAACTGAGATAATGAATTGGGCCACACCCGTGATCCAGCTGTTTATACACACCTTTCACCCTCTGTCCCCAGTGGTCCATTTAAGCCAATAGATTATCATATCTCGGCATATCTACCTATCTTCCTGTGACTGATCATGCCTCGTTATAAACCTTCTTTCTCTGTCCTTGACCCTGTGTCTTGATTCAGCATTCAGCGGAGTGTGGCTAGACCTGATGGGGAACTCTTAGAGTTGAAGTCTAGAATCTAAAACTGTTTTCAATGCTTTGGGCTCAGATGTAGCTGGCTGTGTTGGAACCATGGATGTCTCTAGTAAGCCCTGCTGATGATACTTTTCCTTCTAGGCCCCACCCTAGAACTGGAGGGGCCCCTGTGGAGCTGTACTATACAAGCTCTAGCTAGTCTCCCAAACATACTCTGTCTCCTGCTGCTACCCTCCCCAGTAAGACTCATCCCCCAAATTCATCAAACTCCTGTGGCTAACCATGATCTTTACCTCTACCACCAGTCCGTAAGTCTAGGTCTAAGTCTAAGCAGCAAGAATGGAATGGCAGACCCATTTTTGGACATCTGAAGGATTTACAGATACATATTTTCAGTTTGACTCACTTGTCTTAGGAACAATAAAAGGAAAGAACTTCCTTGTTTCAAGTTCTGAATGTGCCCTAAGAGGTTATGCCTTTATATGCCCTAAGAGGTTATGCCTTTATATCTAGTGTAGAAAGGAGATAAGACAAATTTGCTAAAATGATGTCTACCCAGACAAAATCATTTGTTTCTCCAGTTACACATGAGGCAACTTTGCATCCAACTTCATGTTTAACTCTCTATTTCACATCTTACTATAAATTAAGTTCTGCAAAGCTATCTCACATTTCCAATACTTCATAAAGAAGAACTTATGGTATTGTGGCAATAAAATGGAAGATAAAGTTGTAATTGCAAAAGTACTTTGGATGCATTAGCGTCTTAGGCATGTAATGTAGCATCATGTAAGTTTTAGAACAATTATTTTGTCACACCTACTGTTTCCACTCTTTTTGTTCTGATTACTATTATTATTGTTATTGTTACTATTTTTTCTTCTAAATTTTATTGTAAAGGTTGTGTACAGAGGGGTTACAGTTACACAAGTAAGGTAGTAAGTACATTTCTTTTTGAACAGTGTTACCTCCTCCCTCATCTTCTCCTGCGTTTTTCCCTCCCTATTATTATTATTATTAATCATTATTATTATATATGTGTATGTAAGTCCCGAGGCTTGAATTCAGAGCCTGTGCAGTGTCCTTGAGCTTTTTTGTTCGAGGCTAGTGCTCTACCATTTCAGCCACAGCTCTACTTTTGGCTTTTTGGTGGTTAATCTGAGATAGCAGTCTCATAGACTTTCCTGCCTCGGTTGGCTTTAAATGCAGTCCTCAAATCTCAGCCTCCTGAGAAGCTAGGAGTACAGGTGTTAGTCACAAGCACCCAGTTGTTCTGTTATTATTGAGTTTTCTCCCACTAGTATGTAAGCTCCATGAGGTGGAGATCTTGTGTGTACTGCTCACTCCTGGTCACCAGTGTCTGAAAATACTTTCAAGCACGTAGAGTTAGTCACCATTTATTATATTCCTATTCTTGGTGGGAAGCAGACAACACTATTTTAATTAGTTCATGAAATAGCCAGTTTTCCAAATGTGATCAATGACCCTCCTGTGTCAAGATTATCACCCTCCCTACTTGCTAATGGAGAGTTCTCAGACTCATTGAATCAAAAGCTCCCAGGTAAAGTCAGAAAGGCAATTGTGTGTTCTAGATGCCCCACCTGACAGATTCAATGTAGTATGTACAGGAATGAGACACAAAAGCTTCACTCTCAGAAAAGTAGGCCATTCTTGAAGCTCTTACCCATGTAAGGCTTTGTGCCCGCCATGGTGGTAATCCGAGCCTCCTTGGGCAACAAGGCAGCGATGTTGAAGTCTGTGATGTGCACATGGCCTGGGGAGGGAGAAAGGAGGGAGGGGTAAGATGAAGTCTCATTCAGCAAAGTGTTACTATAAGCTTCTCACTGACGCTTAGTCTCTTAGGTCTTACATACTAGTTGCAACTTGGTACAGGCAGTAAAAATATACTTACTTCTATCCCTCAAGGCCAAATGTAATCTTAAACCAGTAATCCTCCAATAGTCAGAATATAATACACAGATTAGTCTTTGATTTGTCAATGTGTAGTTCAACTATAGAAAGATTTAAACTTAGTAGCTGAACTTATGGTCTAGCGATCCTACTTCTGCTTTTTTGTGTGTGTGCCAGTAATTGGGCCTGGGCACTGTCACTTTAGTTTTTTTTTCTTCGAGACCTGGTGCTTTGCCACCAGAATTGCAGCTCCACTTCTGGCCTTTTGTGGCTAAATCAGAGATGAGACTCTCTCCAACTGTTCTGCCTTGACTGGATCTGAACCATGAGCCTCAGAATGCAGCTTTTTGAGTAGTTTACAGGAGTGAGCCATCAGTGCCTGGCCCTACTGCAGCAAATTTTATCTGTTGGCCTCAGTCTAAGTTACTTATCCATGGGCGTCATGAGGGAGACAGCTGACAGTTATTCAAAGTATCAAAATTCTATGCATCTCTTAGGAGGATCTTGCAAAAAAGGAAGGCAAAATTAGTACAAGCTGGCACAGTGTGGATCCCTGCCAAGAAAGAATTCAGAGTTTCTTTTCTTTATTTTTTAGTGCCATTAATATTTTCTTGTCCAACCATCATCCCCAACAACATAACTGTCATCAACAGAAAGCATGGGGACTTAGCTTTTATTTTATACTAGTACTGAGGCTTGAACTCAGGGGCTGAGTGCTATTTTTTTTAGCTTTTTACTCAAGGCTGGTATTCGAGCACCCGAGCCATAGCTCCACTTCTGGCTTTTGGTGATTAATTGGAGATGAGAAAATTCACAGACTTTCCTGGTTGCACTGGCTTTGAATTCCTATCCTCACTAGCTTTGAGCCCTGCTCCTCAGACCTCACCCTTCTAAATAACGAGGATTAGATGTGAGCCACCAGTGCCCACCTCTGAAATCAGCTTATCTGATTTAAAGGGGCTGTATAAAGAAAACTAGTCTAGGCATCAGTATACCTGATGTTTGCCCTGATTTCTATCCCAACACATAGAATACTCCAAGTCTTTTTTTCCCAAGTTGAACTTAAGTTTCTCTTTCTATCACAAAAATTGGAACTAGAGGTATAGCTCAAGTGGTAGTGCTTGCCTTGTAAGTACAAGGGCCTAAATTCAATCCTCAGTACCATCAATCAATCAATCATTCTATCAATAAGAATTTTTAAAAGAATGAGTAGGCAAGATAATATCTAGACTCTCAGCTCTAACATGGTAGTAGAATGTAGGTCTAACTATGTTAGGAAATAAATCCCACAAAGTGCCCTGGGCTTCTTACATTTATAGCAGTAGAGAAGAAAAGGGCAATACAAGATGCCCACAGTGAAGATAAGCCTAATACAGGAGCTGTTAGCACCATAATTGTCTTAAGCTGTTGGCATTTCCATTTGTCTAGATTTTTTTGGTTTGTTGTTCTCTTTTTATTATTATCCTATTTGTTTGTTTATTATTAATTAATTTATTCATTCATTGTCAGCACTGGGGCTGGAACTCAGGGCCTTGTAATCTTACTTGGCTTGTGTACACGCTTCATGTCTGATATTTTTCTGGCTAATTGCAGATAACAGTCCCAAGGTTTCCCCTCCTCTGGCTGTGGCCTGTAATTCTCAGACTAGCCTCCTGAGCACCTAAAATTAAAGAAGTCAACACCAGCACCTGGCTTACATTTGCCTAGGTTTGATAAGCTAGGCCAGTAATTAGAGAAGATAACATCAAATTCTCCTCCCAGGGGCCATATCAAACTTCCCCAACACTCCCAGATTTATCACCTAGCACTTTGCAGGAAGACTCTGCCTTTTTTTTTTTTTTAATCTTTGCTGTTTCAGATAGAGGATCACATTAAAAATCAATGAAATAAAGGAGGACTATCTAAAGAGGAAATCAGTTAAAGTGAAAGAAATGGGGAGGGACAGGGGGTGGGTGAAGAGAATCAAATATACATTATATATAATTATAAATAAAAGTATACATATGAACACACAAATATACACATATACAAAACATATACATATATATTTATGCAATATGTGTATGCCTCTATTTAAATAAACTTCATAATGAAATGTACTAAAGACTTCAACAAAAGGGAGGAGGAAGGTGGAAAGCAGTTAAGGATACATAGTTGAGGGAGTGAATTGTTCAAAGAGCACAAGAAATGTACTCATTGCCTTACTGATGTAACTGTAACCTCTCTGTACAGCATCTTCACAAGAAAATAAAATTTTAAAAAAGTGCACTGTGCAGATCTATAGAATTACCACAGGGAAGCTCCCTGGTACTCTCAATGTATGCTAATAGGAATCCAAATTCCTCTAACAGGGCCCTGCAATCAACCATCACAGTCATTATCTCTCATCTTGTGCACTGTGCTCAGTCAGAATCTTCTTCATCGTCCCTGTGCTCCAGGACATCATAATCAATTAGCCTGCAATGCCTTCATAAGTGTTTAAAAACTGCTGGTTGCAGGCTGTTAGAATATATGTGTGACATTTTTCCTGTAAATGCTTGTTATCCTTAGGCACTACCCTGACATACTAAATGTCATTATCTTGGGGTTGGTACGGTATGGTCAATGATGTATACTTTCAAAAAGACAGTGTTTACTTTTAGACACATTGTGAAACTCTCCAAGGGGGAGGCTGTTGAAACAAAAGGCTCAGTTCTTCCTTCACAGGACTTGCCTCTTCTCCTTGTGACTCGGAATGTTATTAAGAAATATAAATCATGATTTCATAGTTGTCATTGTCTCTGAAATGTCAGACATGATTTTTCTTCTGGATGTGGCACTCATTTCCTGAATGATTTAATGAAAGCACAGGGGTTTTAGACTCGATGGAACTGATAGGGTTGGATGGGCTGCTTGTATCACTAGCATGTGAAAACATATGAAGACAGCAGGTTATGAGTCACCTGAGTCCTGATGCCATCTTGGCTCTCAAGGAATGGATGAGACCTTTGGGGAGACTAGTATCAGGTAGAGTCTAAATTAAAAACATTTTTTATGTCAAATGCCAATGCTCAAGAAATATTCATTCTCATTGTGGAGAGATTCTCTACATCACAACCAGCTCATTTTAAATGTCAATGTTTTTCTGATGAATATGAACACTATAAATCAATAAGGATAAAACAAAATCCTGTCAGTCTCTGAGTGGTGCTGAATTAATATCTAAGTTACATGATGTTATAGAGAGCTTATTTGGAAAGATGGGTGTAGAGGTAATGTTAAAAAAAAGGCAACTTCTCAGTTGCTAAAACCCATTGTTAAAGGTGCAATGTGATAGCTCATTTGGGGTGAAATTGGAAAAGTGTGGGTGAAAAAAGACAAACAATGGCTTCAAAGGTGAGCCCCACATGGAAAATCACAACAGCAGATACAAGAAAAGTCTGATGTTGATTTGTGGTTTTGCTGGCTCTCACTTGATCAACTGCAGAATGAGTTAGCAGCAGGTGGGCTTAGGAACCGAGTCACTTAAAAGTGATTTGTTCTTTCTGATGGAAGCATAGAATTCCATTTTATACACACACACACACACACACACACACACACACACACACACACACACACCATTTTCTTGATCCATTCATCTACTGAGAAGCATCTGGGTTGGTTCCATATCCTAGCAATGGTGAATAATGCTGCAGTGAACATAGTTGTGCTGGTAGCTTTAGTATGGCCTTGTTTATGGTCATGTGGATAATTGCCCAGAGTGGGATTTCTGGGTCATAGGGGAGCTCTTTGTGGAGTCTTTTGAGGAACCTCCATACTGCTTTCCAGAGTAGTTGAACAAGTTTACACTCCCACCACCAGTGCAATAGCGTTCCCTTCTGTACACATCCCCTCCAACATTTGTTATTAGATTTCTTGACTATAGCCATTCTAACTAGGGTAAGGTGGAATCTCAAAGTTTTTTGATTTGCATTTCTTTTATGGCCAAAGATGTTGAGCATTTCTTTATGCATCTATTGACCAAATAAGTCTCTCTTTAAGTCTTTGGCCAACTTATAAATGGGGCAGTTGTTTCTTGTAAGGAAATGGAAAGACTTGAAAAAAATCATAATAATTGAAATAAGCTAGACCCAAAGAAACATAGACCCCATGGTTTCTCTTATTTCCAATAAATAGTGTACATCTAGGATAATCTTAGCAGATGAGCAGAATAGCTCAATAGCTATGTACATATGACCATATAAGATGATGCTAAGTGAAATGAACTCCAAGACATGGACACAAGAGGCTTTTCTTTGTTGTTGTTGTTTTTAATGTACTATGTGATTTCTTGTTTCTTTTGTATGTTCTACCCCCCCCCAATGGTATATCCCCTGTTGCCACTGTATTTGATTTTGGTACCTGGTATTGTATACATCTACCTGCATTAGGGAAGGGAAGGGGAACAACAGAATGTTGAGACAAAATACAAGGGGGAACCAATGCAACAGAGATTCTCATAAGACAATATGTTGACAATGATCTGTACAACTCAGGGAAGGGGCGGGATTGGGAGGAGGGAAATTGGGAGAAAAATGAGAGAAGAGGTAACAAGTTTGACAAGAAATGTACTTAGTACCTTACTTATGTAACTGTAATCCTTCTGTACATCACCTTGGCAATAAAAAGACCTTAAAACAGTGGTTTGTTAAACCAGGCACCCGTCATGCTTATAATCCTAGTTATTTAGGAGACTGAGTTCTGATGATCATAGTTTGAAGCCAGCCCAAGTAAGAAAGTCTTTGAGACTCTTACCTCCAATAAACTGGGTTTTTTTTTGTTTTTTAAGCTGCAAGTAGGGCTTTGGCCCAAGTGGTAGAGAAAAAGCCTTGAACAAAAGAAACCCAGGGACAGTTCCCAGGCCCTGAGTTCAAGCCTTAGGACTGGCACACACACCAAAAAAATGGTGGTTCATGACAGTCCCTGAGCAATGTCCAAAGTCCTAACTTTTTAGAATGTAAATAAAAAGGAATTCCAAAAGAATTATTTTCCTGTACAGGGATGCCTAGCACACTGTTTAGAGAATGACTCAATTTTGTTTCTGTTTGCTTCTAGACCATCTATGTTCTGTCCTTCCAAAGCAATTTTGTTTCTTTTATTAACAGCAGTCCTTCTCAAGTTGAGTTCAGGATGGGAAAAAAATACAGAAAAGCCTCCTCTGAATTCATTGTTGAAGTAACAAACTCAAGAGTGGAAGGGGTCAATGGAAATAACAGGGCATCTGAGGGAAAAGAACTGTCCTTCAGGCACAGAGGGAGGACAGCTCAGACTTGTGCAGTGACAAAGCCCCAGTCTCACAGGGTAAAATGTCACAAGCAGTGGTCTTGGACCCCTGAGCTTCTGGAAGAAGTCAGAACAGACCACAGACAGTGGAGTTACCTGAAATTAAGAGCTAAATGACATTGTGTCAGCACAAAATCTAAGCAGCATCTTTGGTTTGTTACTTCTGGAAATCAAATAATTATCACCTAGTAATTATTTGGTAAGTAACTATTCAATTTTTACAGAGTTTATCTGATAAAGATTGGGTGCATATGAAATTTTACACAAAGCCACAGGGAACAAGATGAAGTGCTTCATCTCTGCACAGAACAGAAAGTGCCTACTACTTCTTCAGAGTGATCTCATATGTGGTCCTCCTGAATGGCTCCTTTATGGCAGACACTACATTAACCACTCTAATTGTGTGTGTGTGTGTGTGTGTGTGTGAGAGAGAGAGAGAGAGAGAGAGAGAGAGTCTTTACAATGACCCTAGATGTTAAGTCCTCTTTTGTTCCCCCAAGAAACTAAGACATAGATAATGCTTTAACCAGACTGTCAAATCTCTTAGTGAATAGTCTCTGACCAATTGGTTTCTTGCTCTTCTTTCTAATCTACAATCACAGAATTGCCAAGAAAATAAGAAATAGGTGAACGAAGGACAAGTGTGCCCTCATGAAAGTATGTCTGAGACTTAAGATGAACAGCATTGTTCTTGGAATGGAAGATTCATCTTAGAAAGGGTTTAGTTGCTACAATCTCTATGTCTTGGCTCAGGGCCTCTACAAATGATGGGGCAATAGGTGTCATGCAGGAAGGCAGCTTGCTATGGGAACAAAGGATGACTAAATCCCACCTGGGCTCAGTTTAAGTAGTCATGTATTGACAGAAAGCTTGGTCACACAGCACTTTGTGTCCACGTTGCAAAGAGACAGCCCCTATAAGTTATCTCTCCCCAGTTATAAACTTCATAAAGTCTGTTATACCAGGACAGAAAACAATCCCGCCTTTTATTGAGAACAAGGAGAGCTGGTGTTTTCATAAAAGTCACCTTCATGCTAAATCTCACCATTGCTCACATTTCTCAGATTCAGAAATCTGTTCTCAAATGTCAAAAGCAGTAAAGGTAAGGCAAAAATAAAGCACTGGAACAAAGTGGAAAAAATCTTTTTAGACAATCCATAAATAAATAATGACCATGAGCTTTGAGATTAGAGGTCATACACAAAAGTGTTTCTTCGCTTTCTGAGCACAGGTGGAGTTTGCCAAACCAGATTTAAGACTCAACTGGGTAAATAAATAATGAGCCATTGGACAGTACGTGGTGTTTCAGTTCTACTCGTAAACCCTGTTTGTAAAATTTACATGGATGAAGAGCTTTTCAGACTTAGAACTAATCAGGCAGCTTTCTTAATAAAGGATATGGATGTGTTTGTTTGAGACAGTACTGAGGTTTGAAATCAGGGCCACATGCTTCTTTAGCAAATGCTCTACCACTTGAGCCATAACTCTGGCCCTTAGTGCTGTAGTGTAGTTTTCATATGGATCTTGCACTTTTGCCTGGATTAGCCTTAGACCATAATCCTCAAACTTCCACCGCAATAAGAATAAAGGCATGAACCACCACACCAGGCAAGGACAGTGATCTTATTACCAAATAAGTTTGGTAATATTCAAACTATGTGTCATAGAGATCTTCCTAATGAGATACCAATGACTCTAAACACACATGAAAGTAAATATTAAAAAAAACATACAGATTGCATTTCATTGTGCATAGACCACTCATTTCATTGTTGGCAAAAAAAAAGACTGGATACCCAGTCAGCATTTCCTGAACTTTAGACATTTACCACCTTTGTGATCATTACCATATTCCTGTGTCAATTTTATATCTGAGAATTATATATACTACTCATCAGCGTTATACTTCTCTTTAAAATGACTCATTATTAGTTAAACATTTTTGAGCAAAAAACAAAATAACTCTTGCTTAAATGTAAATCAACTTGCCTTCATAACAAGAGATGCTGAAAATTAGATAGAAAACAAAATAATACCAATAATTGGATGTATAATATTACCTGCCTAAGAGTTTGAGCTTGAGACCTGTTTGGTATTTACAAGGCCCAAAAGGCAATTACAAAGCCACTGTGATAGCTGGTTGCCAAGAGGCAGCACTGAATGAAAATTAATTAGAGAATGATTTTTTCATCACATAAATATAATGTTCTTTAAGGGTGCATGGCTGGACTACATCCCTGCTACAAAAAACTAAAGTTCCTTCTATTACATGCTCTCCATTATACATTTTCCCTCCTTCCCTTAACATGAAGTTTATATATACAACTCAACTGAATCAAGAAAAACTACTCTTGGACATAGTAGAATCAATATGTCCTATACTCACGCACACCGTGTAGTTAATCACAAACCAATCATTTTCTTACCATGTTCATCAAGCAAAATATTGTCAGGCTTCATATCCCTAGGGGAGCATAAAGAAAAGAGAAAGTTATTCCCCATAAAACAAATGAATAAACGGTACTATAGGATAAATACAAAGTGTTCAAGACACTCTAACAAGGGCGGAAATGAGGCAGACCTCCATCACTCCCACATGCATTCCATTCTCAGGGCAACTCTGTGAGACAATGTCCTCTACCATTTCCAATTTATATGTCAGAAACATGAGGTTGACTCAGGGTTATGGGGCTGATGCAAAGATAATGGGGCTCTGAACTTGGCTCATTCTTATTTAAAAGCTCAGACTCCTAATAGCTATGGTATATTAAATATTTGGTCCAATAAGGGTATATAGGGGATTTAAATTGCTATGAAGTAGCATTAGTAATATTAATCATTATTTTTATGTGTCACCCCAGTTACATAGATAATATAAATTCACTCTATTAAGCAGAGGTAAATGATCTATAATGTGGCTGCATTTTAAACTCACAGAGATTCGATACCTTTTAAGGTGAGGGTTTAATGCTTCTGATTGCTTGATTGTTATTCCTGGATAAAAGGTCCAATCTTGCATGTGCTGGTACACAGCTTCAGGTTATAGTTAAAAACGCTATGCTGTATATGAGAAATGTGCTGAGATGGTGTATTTCAGACACCCTTCCCACAAAGTAAAAAGTAACCATGTGAGATGGATGTGAGAATTTGACAATAATACTACTCTCCTTGTGTCTATGTCTATCCAAGCCGTATATTGTACACCTTAAACACATACCACTTGAATTTTTTTCACGAAAAACAAATTGATTACCTTCCATTGAAGGGAATGGTCTGATGGCAAATACGCAGAGCAATGACTGACAGAGTTGTCAAAGTCCTCGGGAGATGAGGATGAGGTTGGACTCCTCAATCAGAAAACAGCACTGTGGCTCTTGGTAGCTCTGACGCTCCATTCTAGCATGTTCACTACCCTCCCCTAATGTGCCATTAAAGTCCTTCAGCTTACATTCACAAAAGCCATTAGGAATAAGTCTGTAAGAGTTTTGGGGAACACATTTCAGCCTGGTCAAGTGGCTTTTATGCTGTTAGAAGAAGTGACCTTAGTCTTATACAGACAAAGCCTGTGAGCATCCTCATTTCCTGGCAAGCTGAGTAACAACCCCTTACTTACAAACCAAGCTAAGTGCATGCCATATCTAATAGACAGGTGGCAAACTAAAAATTCTGTGTTTGTCTGTTAGAGTGTTTAACTTCTTTTTAGAGACCTAGAGCCATCATCTGCATATGCGGCAATTTTTTTCTCTGCGTACCCTTTGCTAAAAGGATGGCCAAGAGGACTTCAAATTACTGGGTGTATGGTTAGGTACTCTTGTAATCTTGTAAACCTATTAATCCTTTCATACTCTGGCCCTGTATCCCAGATACTTGGAGACTTCTCCAAATGCTTTCCAGTGAAGCCTACCCTCTGCCATCACCCCTGTTGTTTCTTTGCCTGAACTAAGCCCTCCCTCTCACCACTACCCTCAGATAGGGTAGATTCATCCTTAGTCTCAGAGTACAAAAGCCACTTCCTGTAGAGAGTTTCCCATGCTGTTCCAAGGCCAGGTCAAATGCCCTCACTTTGTGCTCTGACTACACGTTGCCTTTTCTACAGTAACATTCATCACATGGATTTAGTTTTCCATACAACACGTAGGCCCATAAACTCCATGATGTAATGGGAGGTTTCTTGATTAATGTCCTGTTCTACCACATAGGCTCACAGCACGTGGTGGTTACTAAATAACACCAGGGAAATTGTAACGCACTGAAAAATGTGTATCCCAACAAGATTGGCCAGAATGTTGTACCCATCATCAAACTACTGTGCAATGTGGCAAGCCAGGCAAGAAACTTCTAGCACCTCAATTAGAACTATAGCTAGCTAGCAGCCATAGTGTTTACCAGGAGAGAAAGAGGCTCTGGATGATGATGGTATGACAAGATTAGAATCAAGACACCTTGGATGCTTGAGCACAGAATTAGTGGCTCATGTCTGTAAATTCTACCTGATCAGGAGGCTGAGATCTGAAAATAGTGGTTCAAAGACAGCTTATGCAGAGAATTCCATGAATTCTTATCTCCAATTAGCTAGCAAAAAGCTGGAAGTGGAGGTATGGCTTAATTTGTAGAACATCAGTGAAAGCACAAGGCCCAGAACTTAAGCCCCTCCTGGGGAAAATGACTTGTGGATTTGACATGATGTATTATTAAGTCTTTGAACATCAGTTTTCTTGATTTTTTTGAGTCCACATAACCAGAACTTTCCCAGAAGCTACTATAAAACTTGAGTAATATAGTGATCAGAGAGGTAACAATTATTTTAATGTGCTTTCTCACTTCAGACTCATGTTCCTTTCTTCATCCAATATTTATCTGCATTGGTAAGTCACTATCCCGATGAGACCAAGGTAAGGGAGATATTGCTAATTCAGAGATGGAATGATCAGAAGGGTTCAGAAAGATCTATCTATGCCATGAAGGTACCAACTGATAAATGATCACCTTTGCTATGAAATTAGGGAAAAAATACGAGGAGCATCTAATAAAACTGGAAGAGAAAAAGTGGATTTTAGGGCAAAAAGTAAGTTACATAAGCTTAGATTCTATCAACACAATTTCCCCAACCTGTGATGAGGTAACTTCTAAGTCGCCACAGGGAAAATTGCAGTGTGATAAAATTGTGTATTCCTGGGTCAGAAGAAGGAAAATAGACTGCTATATTAAAATTCCTACTAGAACAAGCAGAGGTTTTCTAGTTCTGACTTTCAGCTCCACTGCTTTCCCTTAGCATCACTTTAGTCTTTTCAAATCAATCTAACTAGAAAAGAGCTATGTTTTTTCAAAAATGATTAAGGCTGTCTGTAACACAGTTTAACTTAGTGTTAACATGCCTAGACATGCTATGGAATCACCTCACTAGGTCTGGATGGACAGAGAGGATGCTCTGGCCCAGCTCATCCCAAAGGCCTCAGACTCTGCAGACAGGATCAGGCAATCTGTCTAGAACCAGTAAGAATCATCTTAAACATCCTGATTTGCAGTCGTGTTCAGAAATACCATCTAGGCATTGTCCAAACCCCAAACTGCAGACCTGAATTCAACATATGGATCTCTTTTCTTAAAATTTCTTCTTACTATTATTATAAAGGTGATGCGAAGAAGGGCTACAGTTAAATAAGTCAGGTAAAGAGTGCATTTCTTTCTGGACAATGTCACCCCTTCCCTTGCTCTCTCCCAGTTTTTCCCTCTCAGCGGCATCCACAAGTTGTATAGTTCATTTCAACACAGTGTCTAGTGAGTACCACTGGTTCACTTGTTCACCCTTTGCCCCTCCATTTCTGTGTCTCCCCTTACATATATGAAGCTCTAAACAGCTAACTTAGGAATGAAAAGATCTTGGAAAAGGGCAATACTTTACATTCACTAACAAATTCATTTGTTTAGATAATATGTGGAGGACTATACATCCTACATACCATTAGCAAGTAGCTATGAGTACATTCCCTCTCACCTGTCAGTCATCATCCTTGGTTTATTTAGGGTCCATATAGATGTTCCATATAAAACTTGAGGCCATTAGTGCTTTTCCTTCTACTCCACTCTTAATACCGTGAGAGCCTAGTCCCTGATTGTCAGGATCTTCTACCCAATACATTTTCCAAACTTGTTTATGGAACACAAAATGGCCACCAATGACATTGTAAATTTTCTTCATATATAAAAATTCTAATATTCTCCATTTCCTTCCATGTCCATTGTTAATGTTCTTTGTAAAAATCTTCCACGAACACGCTTCAGTTCTACTTCCCTAATAAATCACCCCCTACTCAAATAGTTACTGCTATCTGAACTTCGCTAGAAGGAAAAGTATACCAATATTGACTGTTCTCAATCAAATTAGCATCACAGTGCCAGGCAATGCTGTGATACTTCCTTGATGACCCCTCCACATTTTGCTTTGTTCCTTGTATCCTTGGCTCACACTTTCTCTCATTTGAAGACATAACTTCACAAAGATAAGAGAACTATGATTTGTGGACTCACCTGCTACCAGGTCTGCCAAACTTCCAACTTACCAATACCTTTCTTCTACTTCTATTAGATAAAGATTCCCTGCATCTGTTCTGTTGGGCTCTGGATCCTGTCCTTCTCATGGATTTGCCTCAGGAAGAATTCTTGCCTTCTCCTACACCATCTCCTCCTCTCTTGTTATGATTGATTCTCTACCCACACAGCTTACCATTTTCCTTAACAAAGAAACCTCTGGATCAAGTTACCGACAATGAAAAATTAGAAATTACAACTGTCCTCTCATCCCACTATAGCCAGGCTTCCATCCTCTCTAGTCTGAAATTGTGCCAGATGCATTCCAGTTCACCTCATAGTCGGCCACACACCATGTATGCTGCAGCCCTAATCCCTGGGCCCTTACGTATGTCAGGCTTCCATTTGGGATTAAAGTCATAGTTAAAATAACGTCTCATCTGTGTTCTCTTCCAACCACACAATCTAAAGTCACCTTCCCACACCTACCCTTCTCCAACCTTTAGAACAATGCTTTTAGAACAATGCTTTTCATCACCTGATGCTTTTGTATATATTGACTTATTACTTTTTTCCACTAGAAGGCAAAAGTTGCAAGAGCAAAGATATCTTTGCAGTATTGTTCAATGATATAGCCACTGGGGTTCACAAAAGCCCCCAGAACAAGTATTTCAGTAAATGATCATCATAAAAATGAGTGAATGAGAAAGTGGAGGTGTGGCTCAAATGGTAAAGTACCAGCCCTGAATGGAAAAGCCAAGTGAAAAGCTTGAGTCCCTAAGTTCAAGCCCAAGTTTAGTGGAAGAAAATAAACAAAATACGCATGAATGACTGAATCCTTTGACTTCTCAACTCCTAGATCACTAAACACTGTGAAACAAAACAGCACTAACAACAGCAGCAAAACCAAGCCTCCAAGCAGTTATATTATATCAG